GAATCCAGAAAAGATGTCCTTCTCTCTCAAGTCATTATATTTTTTTCCAATTCTTTGCAGCAGGTATCTTTCTCATCTTACTAAAGGCATTGCTCTTACATTTCTTAGGATTTTATTTTTGAGTGTTTGTACTTGCACGGTCAGAGGAGGTGTGAATTTGAAGAGCTTGTACTTGCTGCTTGAGGTTTGATAGATGACTCTGCAAAAATAGTAGCTTTGGAGATTAGTAGAATGAGGTTTGGGGCATTTGCTTTGTTTTTTTAATCTTTTTTTTTTTCTGCATTATTTTTATACTTTCTTTGCAGACCATAGCATTTTCAAGTTATGTTCTCTTGATAATCCATGTTTATTTTATTAACTCATTTCTTAGTTTTGTTGGGTTTTTTTTCCCCCTAGTGCTTTTATTCAGTAGCTAGTCTTGTTCCTTGTTTCCTGGCTAGAGTTAGAATTTTCAAGCAAGGGAAGTTCAGTTGTTCTAATTCTTGGCTGAAGAAGGCTAGGCTTTCACATATTTAGGAATATTTCCCTGAAATTTTGGTGAATGTTCTAATGTAATTTCCAAAGAACTTTGGGGAGACTGACACGTGTTATTAAAAATTTAATAAAAGAAAAGTTAAAGTAGTATAAACTAGGGATAGAACTAATTTTATTCATACTAGAATAGGTTTTACATGTTAGCCAATTTTCAAATGCATTGGCTGCGACCATAATTTTATAGCTATTTTATCTGGAATGTTATCATCTAATTTAGCTGTCAGCAAGAAAAAGTAACCTTTGTAATTGTATAACTTGTCAATGTTAATGCTGTATGTCTCAACAATCCAGTCTTTCTTAGACCACCATTACCAAGGTGGCCAGTAAACTGGGAAGTTAAAATGTACACACTGTACGCATTTATGGATAACTCTCTGCTTAATTGTGCCTTACATCTAATCTATTTTGCAGGAACGATAGGTAAACGAGCATGCCCATCCTTCATGTGGATAACAATGGGTTGGAAGGCTTTCCTTTAGGAACTTATGGGGAGTGGAGAGTACATGTTAATCAAAGAATAGCATGAGCAGATAACCTTGCTATTTCTACAGTACCACTGCTGACCTTGCCCATACAAGGGTATGTTTACTAGTAAACTTTTTGAAGATTTTCACTGTCTTTCAGAAATACAGGGAAATACTTTCCTGTAGGGGAACATAAACTTACAGAACTGAAGGATGTGGCTGCAATATATTCTTCTACCAAAGTTTGTCTTTGGTCGCCGTTCCAGACAGGATATTTGGATGGGCTGAAACACTTGAAGCAAACCACTTTTTAATTTTACAGGATATGTTGAAGTGCAGCATGTCTTACCTAGGCCCTATAAGGCACAGACAGGAGACCTCAGCTTCATTCCTCTGCATGCTGCCCTGCAGGGAGCACCAAATGAATGTGAAAAGGAGAGGGATTGTGACTGCTGTAAGCATACTGAGTCAGAGTGTGGTCTCAAGGCTATATGGCTGTAGTTCCCCTTGTCTCTGTCATTCCCTATAGGTTTGTATCAGAGGCATGTTAAGCTCAGGGAAAGGACCAAAACTGGGGCTGAAGTCCTTATTCCTATACCCCCAGCTTCAGTGTCTGAGCTCCACACCTTCTATTTCTAACTTGTTTTTTATTTTGTTATCTAAGTGAAAGCTATTAATGCACAGCTAAATTAAGCTTGTTTTACCCCTCCAACTGGTTTGTCAGAGTGCAGCACTGGGGAAGGGGTTTTTTTTAAGTGTCTTTTTATAATTACTTAAAATGTCTTATCAATTTTGTTCGTATTTAAACCACTATATTGCTTTTACACTTGTAAATCAGTTTGTGGAGAATTATCCTTGTTGTAAAAATTGCTTAAAGGTACTGGATCGTCCTTTATGCTAATCAGCATGACCATGCATGACAGAGAAAGTAAGCTTTCTCCTTAGAACAAGCACTAGTGGGTTCAGAGGGAGCACTCACAGCTGTCAGTAGCCATGTCTTCCTGTGTTTTTGGAAGGTACAGATAGCTGAGTTTTATTTACCTTGTTGCTAAAAGGTTTGCTTTAATCTATGAGTTCATGTGTTAGTACAGAGCTGCATGTATGCAGCTAAATGTAACTAAAGTAAACTAAAGATAACTAAAGTCTATCTAAATGGTGCAGCTTATAGACTATCTTTTAGTCACTATTTAGCATCAGAAAACTGGCTCTAGTGTCTCCTCTTTTAAACAGGGCTTAGATCAATTTTGAAATGCAGGGTAGAACTGTGCAGAGGCCAACTTTGAGATGAGAAATTAATTTTGTTCATCTCTAGGCAATGAATAACAGCAAATACTAGACTGATGAACTTCACCTAGGTGTAGATGAGCTCAGTTTTGGAGAGTAAATTAGAAAGGCAGAGGTGATTGCTCAGGAAGTAAATGTCAGGGCTAAATTTGGATTTGTACTTTGCTAATTCCAGAGTATTTATCTTCCAGACAATGCAGCTGCTTTCTCTGTGTACAAACTTCAGCACAGTAAATGCAAGTAGCAAATACAGAAGTTTATGAATGCTTTTTATTGTCTGTGAGGCTGTTTTAAAATACTGGATTAATTTTAAATGGATTGTTTAGTTGAATAGTTGTTTTTTTCCCTCCCAGTCATTCACTAGCTTTGTAAACCTGACTGGATTCACAAACAGCTTCCTCTCCTATGGTCTTTCTCTTTTACTGTATCTCTTATGGCTTTGGAACCTGAAGTAGGGCAGCAATCTGTTCATGAAACCATTGAGGTGGTCTCCTGGCTGAATATGAGTGTCCTGTTTAGGAAGCCAATATAAGAGATTACTGTAAGTATAAGTTTGTGACAGCAAAATCTGCTTTCTGTTATTTGTAGAAGTAGCTAGAACCAAATGTGTTCTTATAATTAAAGCTACTATAAAGCATTTAGTTACGAGCTAAGTAGTTTCTTATCCTCTGGACACTGCAATAGTAGACAAAATATATGCCGTTAATCTGTTGCTGATCATGGTGTTTGAATAAGGGTAGTGAAATGTGTTGCACTGGTCAGTTTGTTGCTTCATTAGCTGATTTATTGTCTGCTACAGCTGCATCATCCTCACCTGACTGAACAATTCCTATATAGCAGTATAATGTGTGGTAAATATGTTTTCAAGGGCAGTGGGAGGACATATTAAGCTGTTTGTGGAGTTAGTCAGTAGGACCCCTGGGAAACTGCCCACAGGGACAAAGGAGCAGAAGAGAGCTGGCAGATCTTTAAGGACACTTTCTATAGAGCACCAGAGCTTTTAATCCCCAATTCTAAGAAATTAGGAAAGGGAGGGGAAGGCAAGAGACTGGCATGGTTGAGTGGTCAAACTAAAGGGTGAGAAGGAAATGCACAGGGAGTGAAAGCAAAGGCATATATTCTGGAAGGAGTGTAAGGATGCTGCCTGCTTGTGTAGGGAGGGGGCCAGGAAGACCAAGGCATGACCAGAACTGAACTTTGCATGGGACACAAAGAATAATAAGGACTTTTACAGGGATACCAGTCAGAAAAGGAAGGTCAAAGAAAGTGTACCCCCTTTGATAAACACAACTGGCAAACTGGTAACAGCAGACGAGAAGGTTGAAGTACTCCACAACTTTTTTTGCCTGTCTTCACTGGCAGCTTCTCTTACCACGTATCTCAAGTGGTTAAACAGCAAGACAGGGACTGGGGGAACAAAGTTGCTCACTGTATGACCAGGCTTATGACCACCAGAGGAACCTCAAGATATGTAAGTCTATGGGACATTGGAAGGTGAATCCCAGCGTCTTGAGGGAATTGGCTGATGTAGTTGCCAAGCTGCTTTCCATGATGAGAAGTCATGGCAGTCAGGCAAGGTCCCTGGTGACTGGAAAAAGGGAAACCTTGCACTCACTTTTCAAAAGGGTAGAAGGGAAGATGCTGGGAACTACTGACGTGTCAGCCTTACCCTTGTGCCTGGGAAGATCATGGAACAGATCCTTCTAGGAGCCACGCCAAGGCACATGGAGGCCAGGGAAGTGATTCGAGACAGCCAGCATGGCTGCGCTGTGGCCAAGTCCTGCCTGGCCGACCTGGTGGCCTTCTGTTGATGGAATGACTGTATCAGTGGACAAGGGAGGATCTACAGGTGTCATCTGTCTGGACTTGTGTAAAGCCTCTGACAGAGTCCCCCACAACATCCTTTTCTCTAAACTGGAGAAATACGGATTTGATGGGTAGACTGCTTCAGTGGATAAAGCATTGGCTGGATGGTCAATTGCGTCTTGGGGGCAGTGGTCAGTGGCTCAGTGTCTGGATGGACACCAGTGACAAGTGGTATGTCCCTCAGGGGTCCCTACTGGGACCAGTACTCTTTAATACCTTCATCAATGACATGGACAGTGCGATAGAGCGCACTGACAGCAAGTTTGCAGATGGCACCAAGCTGTGTGGTGCAGTTGATACATCCGAGGTACAGGATGCCAACCAGAGGGACCTGGACAAGTCAGAGAAGCGGGCCCATGTGAACCTTGTAAGGTTCAACAAGGCCAAGTGCAAGGTCCTCTCCTGGGTCAGGGCAGTCCCTGATACCAACACAGGCCAGGGATGAAGGGATTGAGAGCTGCCCTATGGAAAAGGACTTAGAGGTGGTGGTGGATGAAAAGTTGGACATGAGCCAGCAATGTGAGCTTGCAGCCCAGAAAGCCAACTGTATGCAGGACTGCATCCAAAAGACCACGGCCGGCAGGTTGAGGGAGGTGATTCTGCCTCTCCTCTCTGCTCTGTTGGGACCCCGCCTGCAGTACTGTGTCCAGCTCTGGAGTCCTCAGCACAGGAAAGACATGGACCTGTTGGACCAGGTCCAGAGGAGGGCCACAAAAATGATCAGAGGGATGGAGCACTGCTTGGTGGCTTATCTGTGGCCTAAGGAGACTATTCAGTTTTGAGTGACTTCTGACCTTGAATAATAATTGGGGCAGAATTCACAAATTAGATTTCTAGCTTTCAGGGAAACACTCTTTTAAAATAAACATAAATCCCAGGATAGAAGAGACTTGTGTAAAGTAAGCACGTGAGAGTGGTGATCACCAAATTATTATTAAAATGAATGGTGGTTTGACTGCCTCACAACTCAGGGATGGCAGTAAACTGCTATTAGTTTTGCTGTGGAAAAACAACTGGCTGGCTGGCGACCAATTCTAAAGTTTTACCAGGTGCTGGAATGGTATGTGTAAGAGCATCCTTCCTCATCTGCTGCGGAGAAAGAATTGGCTTCCTATTGGTGTACTTCCATAGAGGGAAATTGGGTTGTGTTCTGTATCCTTGTGGCTAGTGATTTAATCACTTACATCAGGTGTAAGCTTAATGAAGAGGTTGATTCTGCAGGCCTGCTGTGCTGGGTCATAAAGCCTGGCAAAACAAACTTTTTTTTTTGTGTACTGCTGAAAAGATGAAGCTTCAGTGTGAGTGTTAAAAGTTTGGTTTGTCCCTTTTGGACCAAACATCCAAACCAAAAGCATTAGCCTGGTAAAGAGACTGATGAAGAAACGTGAGAAAATATCTGAGAGGGAGAAGTGATGGGACCAGTGAAGGAAAAGGGAAAAGATAACACAAAAGTTTAAGATATCGTGAAAAGAAAAATAAAGTGAAGACTGGAAGCATGACTTAAATGTGGATAACAAATTTTAATTATGCTGAGAATCACAGAGCTCAACTTCTCAGTAAATATTTATCTCTTAGCACCTGAAAATACTGTTCCAATGTATTTACTACTCGAGCAACCCTAATAGCGAGCTACAGCTTTAAAAATTAACAAAAGTGGTAATATTAAAGTTGCCTCTGGCACAAGTAGTTGTCAGTCTGATTATAGCTAGGTATATGCATTTAGATTGCAATGTTTCATGAAAATAGCTTATGAATATTGAGGGAGGAAAAACTTTAGAAGATGGAGTTAGTTTGCAGTAATAAGTTTATAACAGGTTGCTTTTGTTTGTTCTACATGTATTTGGAGTGTGTGTCAGGAAGATTTAAATTTTATATACAGGCAGCTTTTCTTAAAATATGATTTCAAATATATCAGTACAGAAACGCTTGTAAAGGAACATCCTTTATCTTTCAGGATAGCATTATGCAGCCTTTCTGCAGAATAAGGGCATTCTGATACACAGTGTCATTTGCGTGGGCTATATGTCAGTGGTCTGTATAAGCAAGTAAATAAGACAAAACACTTTCATGTGAATGCTTAAAATTGCTGTGCAGAGCCCCAGATGGGAAAGAGTTGAAGACAACTTATATAAAATGAACAATTTGACAGTTTGAACAAGTCTCTGCATATAAAGGCTTCAAGTCATTGCAGTGAATTAAATTTAATGTCATGGTGACCTTACCATAGAAACACATTCTCTGAAGAGTCATTGTGATGAAGAAAGTAGTGAGATGTGTATAACAACTGTACCACCCTGTACTCAGAGAAATAACAGGGAAGGGGAATGGGTAAAAAGTATTTTTGCCCAATTTCTCATTTTTTCACTGTATTTTAAAGTAGTACATAGACTTGTCATGGGGAAATTACTTAGGCATTATTTGGGAAGGGAGCACATTGCTCTTCAAGAGGTTAAAATGGTATCTTTGGAAGACTGATGTACTTGACATGAGATATGACTGAAAACAACCTTTTAGGATTTAAAACTTGGAACAAAAGGTACATAAACAGGTTTGTATTGTGAAACTTTTTTTTTTTTCCCCTCATTAAGAATGTTTCTGTTCTGTAGGTGAAGGAACTGAAAGAGAAGATTGAATCAGAAAGGGGGAAAGATGCTTTTCCAGTAGCTGGCCAAAAACTGATTTATGCAGGTAATGTATATTATGAAGATACTGTATATGAATCTATGTTATTTTTTTGTTATTGTTTGATTTTGACGTAAGTGTTAAGTCTTCTAAAAGTTATAAGTACTGAAATGCAAACAGGTTAAAAACAAACAAACAAACCCACAAAAACAAACCAACAACAAATCCGTTGTCAGAGGAAACTCTTGATTTTGAATCAGAATTGTTAATACATGTTGTCTGTTTTTATCTTTGCTTTTGCAGCGTAATATGCTAGCAGCTTTAGTGCTGGATGAGGTGTGCTTCGTGAAGTGGAAATAGCTTTTGTTACAAGAAATCAGGATTTAAGCAGATCACATCTGGTGTTCTGGGTTAACTGTCTTCTGTACAGTTTATGCTGTGTATAGCTGAAGCATGCCTGCTATACCTCTTTGTATACCAGACCTTTGGTATACAAAGGTACTTTCAATACTTTTAAGTTGTGTCACTAGAAACAGGCATGTGCTAGCAAAAAGCTGGATAATGTTAAAGACATGAAGTTACTTTATTTCAGTTAACATAGTTCTAGGGATTTTTTAGGCAATATTTTTTTACTGTTTTCTACCTGGCTAGTTCATTCTGGCACTCATACAGAGTCCCAGGTTTTTTTGTTCTTTCTTCATGTCAGAACTTAAAGTTCTATTCCAATACCCCCTCTAGTGCTTTTTCCTCTCAGATTGTGCTTGAAAGAAGCTTTGGTGGTTTTCTTACTTCTTCAGTGTACTGCTTTGTAAACATCATTGATTTTCCACTTCTATGAAGCTAAAGCCACTAATCACAATAGAAAGATGCTAATGGAAGAGAAGTTGGAGTCTCTCTGTGTTTGTATGGACTCTTCAGGACTATATTTCTTAGCAAGTTTTGCGTCCCATATGCTTCAGTGAATGGAATGTACATCAAGAACAGGAAGGTAAAAGTCATGTATAAAACTAAATATGAACAAGGCAGAAGGCCTTGTGCAATTTATGTATAATTGCATGGTGCTCTTAATACTATGTTTCTGTGATTAATAAAAACAAGGGTTGCATAAGATCGTACAATGTGATAAGTATTTTTAGAAGCTTGAATTTGTCTGCGGCATTGCATAATCCCACAAGCATTAGGAAATAAGATTTAGAATCAAAGACTATACAAAAAATGATTGGTTTGGTTTTGTTTTTTTTTCTCTTGGACAAGAGATGACGAAGGTGCATCGATGACATTTTTACTTTGATTAAAATAAGCTTTAGAATTTTTATAGTTTGGTAAAGCAAAGTGATAACCAACCCTGGCGGTGTTCAAGGCCAGGTTGGACAGAGCCCTGGGCGACATAGTTTAGTGTGTGGTGCCCCTGCTCATGGGTAGGGGGGTTGGAACTAGGTGATCTTAAGGTCCTTTCCAACCCTAACTATTCTATGATTCTATGATATCCCAGCGGAACGTAATTAAAAGTATACCATTTGTTATTAAAAAATGCTTGCAATTTTTAAAAAAAAATTATGTTAATCAGAGGTGAGAAAGATCTGTTGTGTTATCTGTACTAGAGTAAAGTTTAGAAACCCTGTGAGCGGTGTGTCCTGAAAGTGTAGGATGTCTACGTATGTAGGTTGTGCAAGCTCCTTCCCCAAAGTGTGCCTATAAACCTGAAAATTGTAAGGAAACCTGTGTAGGTTCTGAGTCAGATGCTGCAGCATCTGCTACAGGTACTACTACTGCTATAGTATATGTAATAAGTTCTTGAGTATTTGACCTGCAAGACTGGTGGAACCAGTAGAGTAAGACGGTGGCACCTCATCCTTTTTCCAAGTGCCGTAATGTGTATGTGTTGCTTTATTTCTTTGCAGTCATCAGGATAAGGTTGTGTCCTGCTATATACAGTTAAGTGGTATATTCCACTGGCACTGAAAGTGGTTATGAAAATTCTCCTTTTGAAATGGGGAAGTGGTGTGAAGTACACTCAGTTTTTCTGATTTGTGGTACTGCCTCTAGGTCAGCTTATGCAAAAAAAAAGAGAGAAGTCTGTGGTTTAGTGCGTTTCTCAGTTCTTCTAAGTGTGAGACAAATCTACTTCACCACAGGACTATGAGCATGAAACTTCAAAAGTTGTTTTTTCTGGTTTGGGATTTTTTTTTTTTATTTTTATCTGTCAAGGTGGCAAGATATGGAATGGTTCTCACTTTTTTTAAAGCTTTAGCCTTCTTTTAAGAACAAATTTTTAAAGTTTCAAAGTCAAATTTGCAAATTCACAAAAGTATGCAGGTAAACTTAGTCTGTGGCAGACTCTGGGAACTATTTAGTTTACTGCATCTGAATGGCAAACAACATAAGCAGAAAGAAATTTTCTTCCTGTGTCTAGAGTGTGTAAGTAGGCATAAGTTACTTAATTAAGCTTATTGTATGCTGAAGCCTTTTGTCTACATTACTTGTATCTGTGTTAAAGGTCCAGTAAATCTTCTGCTAGATATTTAGTGCTTCTGTTTTGAATGATTTGAAGCATCTTCAACACTTGGAGCAACAGCCTTCAAGCTAACTAGTCCTGTGGACAGCATAGGAGGAAAATTATGTGTAGCTCTACTGCCCAAGCTTAATACTCAAACCACTTTTCGTAAGGTTATTAATCTGCATAAAATGTGGTTTTTATGGGCTTTTGTTTGAACTTTGTGAAGGAATCCCAAGATCATATAATGATCTGTTTAATAACTTCTTAATTTAATCTGTTTAATTTGCCAGGTAAAATCCTTAATGACGATACTGCTCTCAAGGAATACAAAATAGATGAGAAGAACTTTGTGGTTGTGATGGTGACAAAAGTGAGTATTTTTTAAAAAGCAGTTACATTATTTTTCTTTTAGTTGTGATGAGTGATTGTGTGTGCCTATCCTTAAAACAAGTAGAATTTGATTATTTGAAAGTTTTTGTCAACAGTAAAAATAAATGTTTGTGTGAACAGATAGGAAATAATTACTTCAAAGTTCTAGCTTGTCTGCACTGATTGCTATTGGTGTTCTGTGCTGAATGTTTACATTGATGACAAAATTTCCCAGTGGCTGATTTTACTGTTTCTTCTTTATATTCTCTCTGTTATTTTTCCCATGATATTATTAAAAGGAAAAAGGGAACGTAGATAGTTTGTTACTAAATTCTCTGTATTGTACTCTTCCAGTCTTGCCATGCTGCATTTCAAAACTCATGGCTATTTCTTTTGTCAAGCTTAACAGCTTAAACCAGTAAAGAAAGGATACATATGCCAATCAACAAACCTGTGTTTTGAATGACTGCAATGGCAAACAGAGTCATGTGGCATGTATTTGAAGTATCTCCTCTTAACCAGTTGCGAGATTGCTTCTGGGAATCAAGCCACTGATTTTCTAGGCATTCCAGACCTTCGGAATCTGAATAAAACTGGCTGCATCTCTGTCATGAGATAAGAAGTTAATTTTGGAGTTAGAAGTCCTCCTTCTGTTAAAGAAAACCTGTATTCAGTTGCCCTTCATTTGTTTGGTTTGGCTTATTAGATTCCGTGTTTGAATGTAACTGTTATAGCTGTCTTCCTGAAGAAACAGTGTTTTAGTCTGCGGGTTGCGTGGAGAAGCATTTATCAGCACAAGAAAACAGATGCAGATGGGATTTCAGAGTACAGCTTGCATTTTGTTTATAGCAGAAGAAACACAGATCTCCATTAAGACCTGTTAAATGCACTACCTTATATTAAAGGACCTATGTTTTGGAGTTGGGCATTTCTTCAGTATTAAGCCTTTTTGCTAAGTCTTTGACCTCAGTTTCCCTTTTTTTGATTCTTTTGTACGTAAGACATGCCTTGTCATGTGAGCGCAACCACTGACTTTGATGCTCAGACATGTTTCAGTGTTTTTCTTTGAAGCTTCTTAAAATGTTCTTTATTTTGCCAGTCATGTTGGAAGCCATTCGTTCACAACCTCTCCTTTCCTTTAGACAAAAGGAGGAAACACATTTTTCTTAGTTTAAGCAAACATTGTCTGAAAGTGATTCACCTTGAATAAGTAGTTGTGTTTTGCTAAAGTTCAGCTATTTCTCTTGGTAAGGCAGAGGTAGGGGTCAGTCTTATCGCTCAAGGGTAGTCATAGGACACAGCTTTCAAGAACATAATTCCTTTACCTTAGCTGAAAGTTACATGCATTCTAAAAAGTGTAATTTCTATGTAATAGGATTAATACTGCATCCAGGCAAAATTCGTGTTTCTGATAGAGATGTGAAGATAAATCACAATTATTTGCAAATATTAACCACTCTAAATTTGTTGCTATAGATTTGGTAGTCCTTGATTCTGCTGGATTTTTGGTGTTCACTACAGACCTCAAGTACATGTAATGTTATTTATCATGTAATACCAGCCTGGAAGGGACCTCAAGGATCATCAGGTGCAATCTTTCTTAGCAAAGCATGATCTAGACTAGATGTCCCTGCATCCTGTCCAGCCAAATCTGAAAAGTGTCCAATGTTGGGGAATCCACCACTTCACTGGGCAAGTGATTCCAATGGCTGATTGTTCTCATTATGAAAAATCTTCTTCTTGTGTCCTGTTGGAATCCCCTGGGAGTAACTTGTGCCCATTATCTGTCTTCTTTCCATGTGACTCCTTCTAAAAAGGGAATCTCCATCTTCTTTGTATTCAACCTTTAAATACTGGAACATGATGATGTTGCCCCTGAGCCACCTTTTCTCTGTGCTGAACAAATGCATTTCTCTCAGGTTTTCCTCACACGGCAGGCTGCTCAGTCCTTTGATATCTTTGGGGCCTTTCTCTGGACTGTCTCAAGCCCATCCACATCTTTTTCGTGTAGCAGGGACCAAAACAGAACAGTATTCCAGGTGTGGTCTGACAAGCACTGAGTGGACTGGGGTAAAGACATTTTTAATCCCTGCTGGTGATGCCCTGTTGGCTTTCTTTGCCACAGCTGCACGCTGTTCAATCACATTAAACTTGTCCATCAGGACCAACTCTCAGATCCCTTTCTAGAGAGCTGTTCCCCAGCCCGGTAGATCCCAACCTGTGCTGCACTCATGGATTATGTTTACCTAGATGCGAGACTTTATGCTTGTCCTTGATGGACTTCATAGTGTTCTTTTTGTCCTACTCTTCCAGCCTATCCAGGTCATTCTGCAGGGTGGCTTTCCCTTCCGAAGTGTCCATGTCCCCACTTGGTTTGGTATTATCAGTAAACATGGCCAGCGTACACCTGATCCTATCTTCCAGATAATTTAAGAAATACTAAACAGCATTGGGCCCAATATTGATCCCTGGGGGACCCATTTATGTAGTGCTTTGAATATACGGAGTGCATAAGTAAAATTTGTTGCAGGTTAAGTTTAAATTGTTTAGCATCTCATTTTCTAGCAAACAGCATTCATGATGGAATGTGATTTCTGACTTTGTAACTTTTTTCCAAATTTGAGTGGTGAGAAAACCTTATGCTTGTTACACTTGTCAGATGTCTTTTTGACAGCCATTTTAGTTTCTTCTGAAAAATGTGCTTTTGTAAAACACAAGATTGTTTTCACATTTAAAATGTCGCAATCTGTAAATATTTAGATCTTAACTTTGCACTTTATTTCATGCTCAAATAGTGTGGCTGCTTAGGTGTATAATTAAGTACTTTAGTGACACTATCACTTGCCTGTTTAAACACAGTGATACATTATAGATCTAAAGTTTTCAATGTTTTAATGTTATGCTGGATGTTGAGGCAGCAGTGTCAAACAAAAATGATCTTAACAGAACTTCATCAGTATGTTGACTGTAGAAAGCATGAGTTTAGGAGCTCTAATCTCTGCCTGAATTTTGTTGTCCTCCTGTAGCCCAAAGCAGCAGCTGGAGCGGCTCAGCAGTCAAATGCTACTGCTGCTACTAGCTCAACGACTGCAGCTCCCGGACCAGTCACTGCACTACTCACTGATGCTGCCCCTGTACCAGCTCCTGTTCCTCTGCCACCAGCACCAGATGTAGTTGCCTGTGAATCTGAACCTGTGAGTGATCCTAAAGAAGAAAACCTAGCAGAAGAACTACCTGAAGCACCACCTGCTGTCAGTCCATCATCAACTGACAGGTACAATTGAGCCCCCAAAAATGCCTTCCCTGTCTATTTCTATTGCTTCTAGTTTTGACTTTAAGTTCAGTTTTCCATTACAGTATTAGTTCAATCGTTTTCTCAGTTCTACATAATTTTTCCTCGTTCTTAGCTATAACTTCAGACTCTGGCTCAAGTATAACATTACTGATGGTAAGAAGTGCCCCTCACTGCTTACGCCTTCTCTGGTGGGAAATGTGATCTTGGGGCTAAACCTATGGAGTGGAGATTTACATGACACAGGATTGTACTCCTATTAGGCATTTCAGAGTTACTGTGGCAGAAGTTTCTTTTCAGACTGAGGATATTCACCTGCATGGGGATCTACTCACAAAGCACTTAAAAGACTTAGAGGGGTGTGTCCAGTCCTGTTTGTAGACCTCTGATTGTTTTGAGTCTTGCTGGTTAGATTTAAACAAAAAGTTCTTTATTGTTGTAAGAATCTGTTAATTTCTGGAAAGAGGGGGTTTGGTTGGTTGGGGTTTTTTCTCGAGTTTGGGTTGGTTTGGTTCCCCCCCCCCCCCCCCCGAAATGCTGTATTAATCTTAATGTAATGTTTTAAAACTACAGTCTTATTTGTTCTGGATGCTCCTTGACCCATCTGCAGATAGGTGTGGGAGCTGGGGTAGTTTTTAACCTAAATTCTCTGCATTTAAGGAAATCAAATGGAAATTGGAAGTTTCATCCCTGTTGTATACTATGGCCTTTTTTTGTTCACTTTAAGTTGCTTAATTTTGCACGGGATGAAAATGCTATTAACTGTAATGGCACTTGCAGTGCTACATAGCATTATACATTTTTCATACACTGGTTTTCGATCTGTGTGTTGCTTATGTGGTGCACAAGACATTAATCTTTCAAGTGGTTGTATTTAAACACTATCAAATATTGATATGATAATAAGGAAACAAAACTTGCAATTTCATAATATCTTGAAAATATCACAAATTTCTTGCACTAAGTAGCTTAATTCATTATTTAATTTTGCAATTCTGAGAAATAGGCATATTTTTTTAAATGGAATACAAATGAAGCTTCATTTATCAGTTGAATAACTTAGGGGTTTTTTTTGTATTGTTTTTTAGTGATAATGTTGGGGGGGGTTGCTGCTCAACTTGTCCAATAGGTTCAAAGATTAATACTAAAACAGTGCTTTACAGGTTTTCCATGTACAGATCGCAGTATGTAAAACTGCGGTAAGGAAGCCTTACATACCTAACAGGAGGCAAGAGGTAATTTAACAAAGACATTGTAGTTACCACCTGCCTTAATTTCAGTGAGTGCTGCTTGTTTCTGATTTGCTTTAGCAGTTAAGTTCCCGAGGCTGGTGAAGGCTTATTGAACCATGGCCAGGCAAGCTGGTGTCTTGTTTCACCTTTGATCTCTTTTATTTATAAATCATACCAGTGAAGCATTCTTGTTGGAACTGATTTTTTTTTTCTTAATTGATAAGATGCATCTCTGTAAATGCCTTGTTAGCTTATAGATGTGGGGCTGCTGCAGCTCCATGTCCCCAGATCTATCAAGTATCAAGATTGAACACTTATTCCCAGTACATACAGTATGTATATACCTATATATATGGCTAGCTGCATAGGTCAATAGTCATGAAATGAAGGGCACTTAAGCAACCATACAGCAAAGCAGTTGCCTTCTGTTCCCCTCAGGCTACTCAAGGCAAAACCTATTAGTGCAGAATACATATGTACAGACATATAAATGAACCATACAAATTTGTCCAGTAGCTGGCCTTAGTCTATTTCAATACCTGGCCCCTAGATCTCCCAGTCTTTTAAATTTTTGGTACCTGTGCGTGTGACTGCCTGAGCCCTGAAACCCCACTCCAGTTGCTGATACTCAGATTCTCTTTGCATGCATATGCATGCTTGCACACACAGAGGATTAATCCAGGAACTGGCTGTAGAAATTCACTGAACCTGGTAGCTATTCCCCCCTGGTCTCCCAGTTGCCTCATTCATTGCCATGTGAACAGATCTCTCCACTAGCTGGATGAGGCCTATAACCTTACCAGGAGCTGACCCCCTGATGTTATAGTCTTCCCAGCAGCTCCTCTCTCAGACACTCCAGTCTCTGTGGCAGCTGGCTCTTAATTTACAGCCAGTCAATACCCAGCTCTTGAGCATCAATCCTTCTCACTGTAGTCAAGCTTGATGCTTGCGGGTGATTACACACATGCCAGTGTATACCTCCACACAGAATATGCATGCAGTCTTGTCTCTTTGGTTGCCAACACCTCAGGCACATATGGAGCCCTGTGGTCCCTTCCCCAGTTGCTGGCACTGAGACTTCCAGAGTGCCTGGTCTCTGCAGCTGCTGGCTTCACAAACATGTGGATCCCCGTGACTCATCATTCAGTGTCCAGCTGTGGGCAGTTAGATATCCTTAACCACACATGCATGTAGAATACAGACACCCCTAACATGAAAAATAGTTATGGTAGCTGGAAATGGAATTTAATTAGAAGGCAGGATTGACTGGTGACCAGGTGCAGGGCATGGCCAGCAGTTGCTGTTTACATGTGACTGGCCCATTTTCTTCCCCCAATTTTTTTTTTCCCTCCCCTCTGTTTAGCCATGCTTTTCATTTGTAGGGTGCCTTCATACTTCCCTTTCCCTGCCTTTGGTTCTTCCCCATGATATCCCATAATAAGTCTTGAACAGTCGCCAAATGCTTTTTCCTGGCACCCGATGGTGAGTTGCACTGCCCTGTAGGCAGTAATGCCCTTTGGTCTGTATGGAGACCTGGAGACCCTCTCCTATTGACCCATCAGGGTATAACCCTGAGACCAAGGTGCTGATGCTTTCACTGGCAGCCCTGTGAGGAGCCAGGAAAGGGGCACCCTTGGCTCAGTGTTAACTGAAGTTCCTCTGCCTGGGGTTATGCCTTTGTGTTCCTTTGTGTTTGTGAAGGTGAGCCTTTAATCCTGTAATTTCAACAGCTTTGATAACTTGAGATAGAGTAATTGCAAATGTTAGTAGTTTATATTCCCCATTGAGGTCAAACCAGTGACTATGGGGAAGCAGTTAGTGAGACTGCTGTGTGCTTTGGAAAATCTTGTTCTCCCACCCTTTAGATCATTCAAACAAATGGCCAATCCCTGAGCAGATGGGCAAGAGCCAAGCTACTGGGGGGTAGTGGGAAGGTTTGTAAGTTTGTGAAGTCTGATCTCACTATAAGTCTAAGAGAGAGCTCTTTGGAAAGATTTGTTGGTTTTTTAGAAACAAAAGGGGCTATTAGAGTTACAGCTGCTGCTGCTTTTTTGAAAAACAGGAAGTTTTCCAAAGTTTTGTAATTACCATTGCACTTGTCTTCATCTTACAGTACAACAGGTGATACATCTCGATCAAATCTTTTTGAGGATGCTATAAGTGCACTTGGTAAGTGGAGTGTTTTTTTAATGTAGACATTATTTTGGTGCAGCAGAAACAAATGACGGATTAGCAGATACTGACATTTTCCTCTGTATCTGTCATTGTTAAGTTATAATCAAAGTACTCTTCTTTGAGACCTGAAGTTTATACCTTAGAATCAGCATCAAGAACTTCTTTACTGAAGAATGTTGCGCTTCATATAGTTTTATTGTGTAAAAGGAGAAGATCCTTATAATTCCTGTTTTCTTTTTTTCCCCAATTTGCCTTAATTTCTGTTCAGTTTGAAGTGGCTTGAATAGAAGACTGGATGTAAATATGTATATACTTTTCACCTTTGCTTCCCAGCGTGCAGGTTTGGTAAAATGGCTGCCTTTATTATTCACATGTTCCAGCTTTGACAATACTGTCTTTTGACACATTTAGATTAGATAAATTCAGTGCTATCTGGGTTGAGGAATTAAAGCTTTTGTGTATTTAGAGTCAGTTCACTTTTCTTTTGACAGTTCAAATGTCTTTGTTTATCACTGGAATAAACAGGGTAAAAACAATAGGTAGGAAGTTCTGCCCCTCATTTATGCTGATTCTGGTAGGTAGGAAATTACTAGGCAAACCCACAACTCCATACTAAAATTTTTCAGAGGGGATTTTTTTTTTTTTTTGTGTAGCATTTTAAGGCACAGAAATAAGGGGAAGTGGGTTTTTCTTTTTTTGTTTTGGTTTTGGTTTTTTTTGTTGTTGTTTTTTTTTTTGTTTTTTTTTTTTGTTTGTTTTTTTTTGTTTTTTTTTTTAGTTTATCTTACTTGTGTAAACATTAAGCTGCAACTTGGTACAAAGACTTACACTGATTAAAGAGTTTCACTTACATTTTTGTGTAGGGGTGTGTTGATATATTGGAGGCAGGTGTTGTGATTAGCAGCCCAGGGTGATTTAGGAGCAGCAGTAAGGTTTTATACACATTGGTGGTAGCCACAAGGTTTAGTCTCTGTTTGCAGCTTAGGTCTTATGTTATGACATCCTGGTTTAGGCTGAAGAAATAGATGAGCTGAAATAGCTTACAGATACTGCAGGAGACAACCAATCAAGTTCCATAACATTTTTAAAGGTCTGCTACCAGAAAAGCTGCAGGCTTCATGAACCATTCATTATCCTTTAGTGGCCAAGATCGGGTTATCACAAATACACATGTCAACAATAATGGCCAACAAGTTTAATTAAGATGGTGGTCCTCATTCAGTTACCTTCAGAATAAAAAAAAAAAAAAATAAAAAAAAAATCTTTCAATGTGAGCATCACCTCACTATACATACATTTTGTATGAAAGTTCTCTGATTGGTATCTGATACAGTCAACCCACGTGTCCCTGACAGTTTGGAAGTACCCAGGCATTGAATATAATTTCCTGGGTAAGCATACTGCAAGGATTAGATGCCGAACGAATTTCAAAGACAATAGGCATGAACTCTGGTTCTTTAGACACTGTCTTAAAAGGAAGTTGCTTGTGCAAATTTGTTTAGTATTGTCCTAAGTAGGTTCCTAGGCATGCTCTTACTATGGCTTCTCAATTACATTGTCTGAAGATAATTGACTTCACTTTAAAAGCAGGGTTTGATTTCTATGAATTTGCTTTTGTTTTCAGTTAGATATGCTGACTGAAAACCCATGTGGCTTTTGTGCTTCATAAAGATCTGCATGTCTTGCAGTTCCTGTGCAACCGTATCTTTCACTGGAGCAGCCTAAGCTTTATTTAGGGCATGGAACAAGAATTACTGTGGGGAGTGTGATGAACTGGAATTTGAAAGTTAATCCAGCTTTAAAATGTTCTTTCAAAAGCAAAAAGCAGAATCAGTTCAGCATTGACCTCGCAAACATTCCCAGTAGCACTATGTAGAGGTAGGCCTGACTCTGTATTATGACACTGATGGTGTTCAATTCGGGAATGGTTATTCTTGGTCTTATTTTTCATGACTTGTGTAAGTAGACTGTATGTAAAGTACATGTGCCTAAATTCACAGTAATTCCTTTTCCTTCTTTGGCTTTTAATTATGGCTTATGTGGCAGTCTGTCCACAGCAAGTTGACCTTTTTGCAATTTTTTTTTTCTGTACCAAATACCTCATACTGTTCTAGTTTCTACCTAGCTTATACTGAAAGAGCACTACAGAAAGGTTTAAGCACTAACTAATTAGATCAGAAGGTGTTCTGTCTGCTGTTTGCCTTGATTATTTTGTTAGCTAAAACAAACTAAACAAGCTAAACTAGAGCTGTCAAAGAACATGAGCAGTAAGTTTAGCAAAATCATTGTTTTGTGGCAGTTATTGACTTGGCTTTTTTGCTTGTCTGAAAATATGTACGGAAATATGTATCTTTAGAGTGAAGTTTGGGGGATTTTTCCTTTTTTTTTTTTATGTCTTTATAAAAATGAAGGTAGATGTAAAATGATTGATCTTGTAGTTGTATATGCAGACATGAACTTATCATTCCTTAAACGCAGGATAGCACTATCGTTTTGAGAACTCAACAGTAATACTCAAATTAGTCAAGGATTATAAATCCATTGTTTATGAATAATGTGCAAGTATCCTTGGGCTAGGGCTGTTTTATTCTTTTTTTTTTTTTATTGAGTATTTTGCCTTCAGTCATACATCCACTGACTACTTAGAAGCATCCTTTAAAAATCAAGCAATGTGGTTATGTTAATGTTGTCTTGAGTTAAACACCTACTCCCTAAGGGAATAAAACTCAAGGTTTTATTTGGTTCTTCTAATTGTGACTTGTCTTAACAGAGTAGCTCTAACAGCATTTGTTTCCTCTACTTTTTTTAATTTGTTGGGTTTATGGTGACCGATAATTATTTAACTCTCCTGCCACAAACTTGATACTGTTAAAGTCAGTAGTAGGGTTCCACTGAGATGAGGAATACCTTTATCCAAGGGAGGACATGGTATTTTAACACCTAGGTTTTTTGGTTTGGTTTGTTGCTTCCGTACACACACGCTTGTGGTTTTGCGTGGGAAGATAACCTTTAAGGTATTACTTAGTTAAAATTTATAACAGGATAGTTATTTTTTTTTAATCCTGTTGAATTTGCTGTCTACTTTTAAGGAAGGGAAAAAAATGGGTTATGAAAAGAGATAGTAATTTTCCCTAC